GGAAATCGCGGATCACGCATCGTGTTAATTAAGCGTCGCCGACGTTATACAAACCATTTAATTCGCGTGTTGTTTAACGTTCGATTAAACGACGTTATTAATTGCAAGAAATATTTTCACGCAAAGCGGATTGTGATGTTTCGAATCGAACGGTTATTTGATATAATTATTAGCTTTGATGTAACGTGACGGTTGATAGTCTTGATGCATGGGAATGGGTTTATTGGTTTAGGGATACATAATTCACAGGTGTTTTTACTGAGATTATTACTGTAGTTTTATTAGGAAATTTTACTGGTGTTAATGGAAACGTTAAGACTATAATTACCAAACAGTTAACCAGTTAACTGCGTTTGACGAGAACTAACTTTGTCAACGATAGACTATTTACTTCTTTAGATAAACATGTAATTCTTTATGTTATAAATACTTCATTATTTGATTTTATTGTGTGTACAGTAAGAGATTTTTAAAATTAAGTTCCGCACTTAACGGGTTAAATTGACTTTTTGAAATTTTCCTATAGGAATTCTGAGGGTGCATCTATCGAGATTTTCATTGATTTAGGATTCAGTTTGCGTATTGCTAGATCAGTTTTTTAAAATAATTTCTCAGAGAAATGTCTGTCATTTTTTTAGTAATTACAAAAAGAAGAAGATCAGGGAATGGGTCATTTTGTCCCGTTTAGTAGTTTTAGTGTTAATGGAGATTAAAGTACTTTTTCAATTTTGTTTTGGATTATGTGATTTGTCATTGTTTGATGTTTGTTCGTCGAGGAAATATCTATTTTATATAACGTACTCAATTGATGAACGTTTTTCTATTTCTTATTCATTTTCTTATTTTTTCTAAATTTTGAGTGAAATTATTAATTTACTTTGAAAATTATATAAAATAAAAAGTACACTGTGGAGAGATTTGTATCTAATTTGCATATAAAAATGATGATTTTATTTTAAAGGAGAATAATAGAATATTTTAAAATAACTTATAAAATTACTACAGTTACTACAGTTTCTTTGATAGACTATGGGAAAAGCTGTGAGATGATACAATCCTACAAAAGCCTATTTTACATCTAATAACAAGTGAAAAAGAAAAAATATTATATATTATATAATTCTATATAATATTCTATATAATAAATTTTTTTGTTTACCTGTTTGATGGATTTACTTGAATTGTTAAATCGAATTTGAACTTTATCGAGTACACGTATACTCCAATAAGAATCCACCAACGTGTCTGTCCATGACTGATGCTTTCTACTTCACGATTATAACCCTCTCCTATTGAACGAATTTTAAAATTGTATTTCCTCAACAACGAAGGAACTGACTTGACCTAATTTTTCATATATAACTTCCTTCTGCTTGTGTTTGTCAGTCTGTGGAGTGTATATATTCATATACAATATATATAGACATATATATGTACATACATTGAAATTCTAAAATATATTATTTTGTGTATCCGTATAATTATACCTTTTCTTGATTTACCCGACACTTTTTATTATCGCTACTTTATCCGTTTGAGTGCCATAGGTCTTAATATTTTCTGTTTTATCATAAAAAATTCTAAATAATGCAATCGTGGTAAACGTAGTAACAAAAATAAAAATAAATGATTACAAGGAAAACAAATAAATAAGTGAAACCGCCCGTCCATATTTAAAGGTTAATAGAAACAAATCGATAGTACTAACTATATAAAGAAAATTTCATTATTTTCAAAATTCACGATACTGTATATACAGGTCTATGATAGCACGCGTCGATACTTAAAGGTTAATAGAAACATTTTGATTCTATCGTTGCCGTTGTTGAAAATGTCGCGTGTTGAATAACACGCGAAATCGGTGAATTTCGCTCGGAGTCTGACTGCCGGCCTAATATTTCGCCCGTGAGGCTCACGGTAGCGTGATTTTCGCAAAGTAACCAACGCGTTCCCGAGTTAAAGGCGCACGGGAATGCGCCGCTCGGCGTATACTTGTTTGTTCCGGCAAATATTATCGTTAGGGGGACTATTATTACATCTAGACAACAAGCGCGACACAGCACCGTCGGACTTGGAGTGCGGCTCCGCTAATAACTCGCGCACGGTGAAAATAGACGAACGTTAGAGAGAAGTAGATATGCGACTGCAGCAGATTGCACTGCGCTTTGGATACTTGCGTTATGCTGCAGGCGCTGTCCAAGCTTTGCCCGCGAGTAAATCTAGCTTCTTATACACTTTTACACTTGCTTGTAGAGGTGTGACTATCGATTATGGATATTTTATTAATATTTAACATTAGAACTAGTGTAACAGTCAATACGACATACAGTTTCAGTTTTTTTATATCAATTATTGATATCTTAACACATTACTAATCGAATGGGGAAATTTCCTACTTCTGTTGTCTTTTGACTGCTTTGTCTTTCGTTTTCTCTTTCTTCTATTTTCTTCGCAGTCGAGTCACGAAAAATAAAATATGGTTATTAAATCATTATCTGTTTTAATTTTAATTCGAATTTTAAAGCGAAAAGATTACTAACAAGTATATACGTACTTCTGAAAACTACGTGGCCAGTAAAGTATTAAAAGTATTAAATATCCAAAATGATTTTAAAAATAAATAGTTTCACTTGAATACTATAATGAATATCTAAAGAAGCTAGAAAAACCTCTATTGTTACAATGTTTAGAAGAAGTAGATACTAACCGTATTAAATGCTCGGTACTTCTAGTATTAAATAAGCCTTGGTTGTTGAGACAGTTCATTGCTCGCCGTTTCTACTTATCGCGAACCGGAATGCGCCCATCTTTTACTACCATCGCTGGGCTTTGTCGGTAATGCTACTCGGAGGATGTGCCTGAAACGTGTGAATGCTTCCGGCTGAAGCTACGTTATAATACGTTACAACTCGCAAGTTTTACTCCCGAGAGTTGGCGCTGCGCTACCGGAATACGCCGGCAAACACTGGCCTGAAAGCAGCTTTATAACATCTCACTAGCCAATAGTTTTCGCTTATACTCTCGAGAGGCTACTCGCAAGTGAACACGTTGCATTAGAGTTTTCAGGGTCTCTTTGGTCCACGGAGATTGCGATCAAAGATATTCCGGATACTTCCAGGATCTAAGATTCGTTTCCCGCGGAGAGATTCTTGCTTTCAGATCGAGTTTCTTGTGATAGAGTCGACGACGAGTCTGTGTCTACAAGGTGACCCAAAAGTAAATGATTAAGACTTGTGAAAAGTGGGAAACGTATTGTATTAGGGTTGATGCAACAATTTCGGCGTTTTCTGCGTATGATCGATTTGAACTGTGACCGATCTAACTACCTTGTGATTAATGATTTATTGAAAATCACAGAAAATTCCAGTCTTATTCTATGTCAAATTGCGCTCTAAGGTATAATCATTGATAACAGCATTTAAACAAATTGCATAATATCTATGTCTGTTAAATTCTTTTTGAAATATTCATCGCTATATGTTGTAGGGAAAGGGGTTAAGAAAAACATTTTTTTCTTCGAAACAAATAACATCTGTTTTTAAACTGTTGTAATGTGTATAAAGGATACTTCTTTCTTTGTTTTTACTTAACTGTTATCCAGCGAACATTTGAACTACTAAACTAAATTTAAAATCTGAAAACGTCGAAACTTCTGCATCAACTCAATACATAATTATTCTATTATTTTACGTATAACTAATACGAGAATGTCAAATGAGATTATTTTGTTTAACGTTTCGTTTTGAAATACTTATTTCGATGTTTCGTATTTGTCGGCTACACGTGTATGTAGTTAACTTTCAATTAATTATAATACGGTGATATAATACGGATATTTTATATAATTCTTCAAATTCCATACATTCTGTGCAGTTTTGCATTTCCAAATTGTCTATAAGTGCATAAAAATCCACAGTCCAATTATTAAAAATATGAAAGTTTTTAGCAAACGATAGACTCAATTTTTACCTCATAAAATCTTCAAAGAGAAACATTTAAATTAATTTCAATGTTTAAAATTAGAAATTAATTTCAAATATTTAAACTCACACAGAATAAACATTTTTTTTGTCCTGTACTTGCATATGTATGAAGTTCCCATATTGGAATAGTCATAAAATGCAATGAATGACATTATTCATGAATATTTTTTCAAATTCATGACCACACCAATATTTAAATACAACAACAGCAGTATATTTGTTTTAACTCCTCATACAAATTCATACAACAGAGGGTTAAGTTTGAAACTTATAAGGAAGACAAAAATTGAAAAAAAAACCATACAGGAGATGTTTTCACTATTTTGTTCGTACCGATTCGTGACCCGTGAAATAAGGTAACTTTTCGCGTATGTTCAATGGAACGGTTAATAAGAATTGGATGCGAGGTCCGCAGGAGTAATAAAAGGAGTGTTCTTGACAGATCGGGTTATTGCTTCGTAGCGTGGGTTTAATGAGGATGCTTGCTACTGCTTCCATACACGGTGAATTTTCTTTGTCTACGAAGACTGTGCCCGAGATCGATTGCCGTGCTTCCCTTTGTACTTCATTCCAAGCTGAAATGTCGGGAATGATGAAACCTTATTCAAATTTATGGCAAGACAAACATTATTTTTTCCATGTTTGTAAGCCCCAAAGGTAAATGACTTTCTAATCGTTTCCTTGGAGCTCAGTTTCCACGGTAATAAATCACACATCTTCCTGTATAATAACATTATTCACAATAGTTCTGGATAAAGTAATCGTAAATTGACCATAGACATTCATGCGGTTGTAGATTTTCATAAATTATTTTACCGGGGAATTGAAAAATTGTCAGGACGTGATTATTTCAAATTTGATCATTCATAACTTTGGTGGACAAATTTGTGAACAATTAAAAGTTCTTCGCCACATAGAATGTAGATTTAATTTTTCGTGGAATGTAAAAATAAACCGCAATGTATAATGTTTGAAATCATTCAATAATTAATTATAACTCAATAGTAATAGTATTTTTTGTACTATGGAAATGTAATAATTCAAGATCTTAAATATTCTTTATTGTAAAATATACAATACTGTGAGTCACATTACCAAAAAATCTTGATGGGTCATTTGAATCATACTAGTACTCTTTTCATCAGTTTCAATTAAATTGTGATAATTATAAGATGGAACAGTGTAGGTTTTTCTTTACGTGTGTCGCACATTTGAATAATATTGTTTTAATAGGAATGTGGTATGTAATTAATCATAATTTTGAAATAAATTATTCATTACCCAATTACTATACAGAATTTCATGATTTACTATTGTTAAAATTAATGATCTAGAAAATTAATTTTAAATATAAACAGTGCAATATATAAATTAAACTTCTGTCTCTGAAATTTGAAAAGTTTCGAAAAGTCACTTTGCCCTGTGAAAAGCGCACGTATTGTTAAAGCTGCAGTGGGCATCTTTTTTATGGAAGCGGTAGAAATCCAATCCTTCTTGCTTTGAGGTTTTTTAGGATTTAATACTTCTCGTAAAGGACTGTAGGAATATTAAAAAATCTCTTGATTGTATTATTCCAACACAAAAAGGAGAAACCAGTCTGCTACTGGAATTAACTTGGATTCATATTTCTAGAAAAACCTTGACAAAATGGCTCATGTGATTCAATCATTACGAAATAAAGAGTAACTGTGGCTACAATGTTGCTTATTTCGAGATGCTTTATAGACACAGAATTTTAACAAATTTAGTCATTTCATTCTCTTCATATTTTCATCTTTATAAATCGTTCACTCTTTATTCTTACACTTTATATACTTTATTATAATATAATAGTAAAGTATCTTCTCTGCTCTCATCTTTCATCTCTAGATAAAAAAATTGCCCACTTTATGAATTTTAATTTCCATCCTGTTATCGTTTTTCATCTACAATATCATATTCATCATTCGCATATCCTTCGTATTTTATTTTCATTGCAAAGTACTCGAGCGAGAAATCATTTTGTCTCGCGTCGTCCTAACAATAACGTGCAAAAGCTAGCCACTTTAACTCTTGAACAGCTTGTATCACGTTGGAAGCAGTCCTTGCGAGCAATCTATCCTCGATTTTCTTTATTATACCTCGTCGATCACTCCCATCTTTCCTCCACCCCCTGCTTGTATCATTTTCCCACGGGGTGGAAAAATGAGGCGAAGCGTTCCTCGTCGTCGACTTATTCGATTTTAAGATTAGAATATTAAAATGGCGCAGCCGTGGATTACCATTGGGTAAGAGGACTCTGTTTTGCTTCCTCTTCTTGCACTCGTCTCCTTCCTTGAGGGCGTTGCGTTAATATTGCAGATGACCCACGGGAAAGAACGGAACCTTCGAACTCGCAGACGAAGGTGAGCCGACCCGAGAAAGCGTGATCCACTTCTGGCGATGTTGTATTTCGTTGACTTTGACTACTGACGCTTTCGCGTCTCACTGTTTGCTGCGCTATATTTGTGAAATTATTTAAGTTACATTCAATTCTGCTTTTCGTTTTTACACGATTTTGATTTAACTCCAATTATTGTTCTCTTTTCTTAAGATTTAAGACAAATTATTCTGCCCTTTTTCCACGATTTCGATTTAATATGAATTACTTTTCCTTTTCTCAAGATTTTGATTTAATACAGATTACTTTCATCATTTTACAACATTTTGATTCAAAATAAATTATTTTTCCTTTCCTCAAGCTCTTGATTTAACACTAATTACTTTTCCCTTTTTACACGATTTTGATTTAACACAAATTACTTTCTTCTTTTTACACGATTTTGATTCAATACAAATTATTTTTCCCTTTTTACACGATTTTGATTTAATAAGAAATATTTTTCCTTTTTCTCGTGACTTTGATTTAACTCGAATTCTTTTCTTCTTTCTTCATGATTTATTTGATACTTTACACGAATCAGAATCAATTAATTTTCTTCGTACACTATTTGGTTTGATTTAACATAATTACCTAAATTTAAAAATAGGTTTTGAGATGGTTTGTTGTATTATTTTACTGCCTTTTTAGGTCTCGAACCAATCTATACTTTTCTGTAGGTACACTATATTTTTTACACGGGCTTTTTTATATGGAACGTATCTATTGTATAGAAACAGAATTGAATGTGTTCGTTTGATCAACGTTTCTCGTATTTCTTTATTCATTGATTTTTTAGGAATCGATTGTTTCATATATTCGTAGTATAAGCAAAGAGATCACAGAAACGTTTTTGGAAATAGTTTTATTCGCACATGTATTGTATATTAATCGTGTCTGTAGAGTACAAATTTAAAGTATGGTATTAAGTTACGTCTTTAATTAGCAAAATTTATGACTTTCATAGCAAAATAGAATTTTTTTAAAAATGGTATAAGGTATAGAAAAACAATTAATTTAGTAGTATATAATTGTTTTCTATCATACAGTCTAATGTTTTTTATACTTCAACGTTTATACACAGAAATTATATAAAAAATATAGCAAAAGACATTTCAGATCCCGATAAGGATTGTTTTCCGATAAAAAGATGTTTCAACAAAAATACTACATTTATTTTAGTTTTCTAGGTAGCAGATTTAAATCCAAAAGTACTCTTACTGAAATTCAGATATCTGAAACGTAGAGAATCTCGTTCTGCTAACAGAATCTATTCAAATTTCAATGCAATATCAATTACCACTGAAAACTCCGATATTTGCATATCCAGTGACCCGATATGAAGTGTCTCGCAGCTTGAGATATACATTTTCCGTGCGAAATACCGAGTAATATCTAATTTTCCATTCCGTTTTAGTATTCTAACATTTTAGAGGAAATATTCTGATCTAGAAGCTCTTTTTTAGAGTAATCTCCGGAATATTATTTTCCAAAATAATATTTTTTAGATTATCATACGCAAACGTTTTACGTATAAACAGTGTAGCTTATAAACATTACATAAGCAATAA